GGCAGCAAGTTGTCAAGACCTAGTGTCTTTCGGCAGCTAGTGGAAACTGTTTTGCAGTATGAAAAATACAATTAAAATATAAAATTAACTAAGTTTTATACTGTGAGTAGTGGAAACTTATGTTGTCAAGACTTTGAGTCTTTAGGCAGCAAGTTGTCCAGACCTAGTGTCTTTCGGCAGCTAGTGGAAACTGTTTTGCAGTATGAAAAATACAGTTAAAATATATAACCACACTAGATTTTATACTGTGAGTTGTGGAGACTTATGTTGGCAAGACTTCAATATTTAGGGAGGAGATAGAATGTTATTAAGTGTTATATGCTGTAACCGGCATGCAGACTTTTGGTATCGACAGACTAAAACAGTGTACTTGTAAAGTTGTAAAAATGCTTCTTTATATTTATATCACTATACTGGCACCTGGGCAAGATCAGATGGCCAAAAACAAATGCCTTGGGAGGCTGTAAAAACGCCTTCGCTTCTGGCATATTTTTGTCAGTCTATATAAATTTTAAAGTTTATGGTGTTACGGTACTCTGAGTGTGTATCCACACCGGGCAAGCTGAAAAGTTTGCCTGACTACAATGGGAATCGAACCTGCTACCTTTGTCCTTTGCGGTACTAGTCCAATGCTCTACCAACTGAGCTTCAAGGTGAAGTCGGTTTGAGTTGGTGATATTTAATTTCAGAACTGAGTCTAGTCACTTCGATATCAATGTATTCTAAGATATGATGAGCATGACTAGGGCAACTGATTGGTAGCAAATAACTGGAGTTCTCATACCTCATCGTTGTTTTACAATCTATGGTGATATTTCAGAACTAAGTCTAGTTCCTTCATGGATAACATATGGTTCCTTCGATATCAATGTATAATTCTAAGATCTATGATAAGCATGACCATGGGCAAATGATTGGTAGGAAATAACTGAAGTTTTTATACCTCATCCTTACGCGTCTAGCACCAGTAAAAACCTTCAATGCATCATGACACTTTCTATATTAGCTGGAACTAGCATTTTAGTTTTGTATATAGGAAGTGTTTTTGTTTGTGTTTTGTTTTTATACTTCAAGAGGCAAGAGTGCGGACGGGACTCTAAGCCGCAAGGTACTCTCCCGTTTCAATTAGATTTACAACGATAATAATATACAAGTACACATACATACCCACTAAAGCGGACATTCGTCCGACACCGGATTCCAAGTTATATTTCGATGCTATTCGTCCGACAGACATCAGGTCAGACCACGGTGTCGAGTCAGATGTATTTCCTCGTTCTTTAAACATGCTGAACTCGCCTTGTGCACGCTATGTACGCTCAAACAAGAAGCCATATTCATAAAAAACATCAAAACCATATTCGGCTAGATTCTTTTCCTATTAGATATTAGAGTTTTAATAATTTAAAACAAACTACGAGCTGTCAGGCTGTTTTAATACACCGCGCTATAAAAACAACAACATTTAGTAACCACGCGAATGCAAAGTCCCGCGTGTCGCACGCGTGTGTTGAATTCTGGAACGTGGACAGACCCAGGCATTAATGTACCTGAGTAGTGCTGGTATAACATGCATTATTTAATACACATACAGGATCACCAGACCAAGAGATCACAACACGCGTGCATGGCTGGAAAATTTGTTTTTCGCTAAAAACATTTTAAAATCTCTTTAATAAAATCCTCACATTTTTACAATATCATGCATTCTTGCAAAATAATCTCGGCCGCTAATGGACAGAAATTCCACAAATTCCCCCAGAATATAGCGAAAAGCGCCCTTGTTATGTTCCATAACAAAAAACGTATCGATCGATGCAATAAATAGTTTAAAATCCTCCATATATTCCTCCAAACAAAATCGTCCGCTCCCACGGCGACCATTTCATTTGGAAGCAGCCTACAGCCTCCTACCGTCAGGCCTAGCGGCCCGAAATCTATAGTTCGAGTTGTCCATTCATGGTTTTACTTGAATTAATAGAAGAGAAGCCGGCAGCATTTTAAAGACTTTTCATACTCGTTGCCAATGCAAAAGTGTGGGTTACAAAATTGAATTACCTTTTTAGCTAGACTTTTCCAGCCATGCATTTTTATCGATGTTGGACAATTTGGACAGTGAACTTCTTTTGTATATATAGTTCTTTTCTGTCAATATATTATAAACGCTATCACTTTATAACCAGTGAAATAACTATATAACGTTGAATGAACCATTATCCACTATCCGGCACGATAATCCGTTCAACTTTTTCAGCTGTCCGGTTTATCCGGCCGATTAGTTATACCAGAGCTTGCCCAAGCCTGGTAATTCTCACAAAGAACTAACGTTTACACACCCCTGCCCGTGCTCTGTTTGGGATAAAGAAAGAAAGAAAGAAAAGATGGCGCACAACATCTGGGACATTGCACAGATACGCATTTAGACAGCCGTAAGTTATCCTGATTAATTTTAATTTTGACGTATTCTTCTTTCGTGTGAAATTTTACATTATCATATCAAATCACTTTGGAATCAGAAAGGCTCGGAAATGTTGCGCTGCGCCGCCATGCTTACAATAATTGAAATAATATATTCTGTAAAACACTTTAAGCCTGGTTCACATTCTACGATCCATTGTCTGTGAGCAACGAAGAAGAAAATGCACAAAACATTTTATGCATCAATGACCACCGACAATGGGCATCGCCGATGTTTACGATCAATGTGAACCAGGCTTTAGTGTTTTGAAAACTTAAAATCAGCATACTGTTCAAGTAGCAGATGAGTATATGCATGAATAATTAACAAGTGAAAATTCTACTGTCCTCACATTTGTTGAGTGCTGATTGCGAATGTTTGAAGAAAATTAAGGAAGTAAAGTTAGATTATGGTAAGTTTGTTTTTTTCTCGTACCAAATACATCATTTTCTACTTATATTTCAACTTTCTGAGAAGAAGTTCCTTCTCGAGCACATATACTGCTGTATAGTACCGCACAAGTGTTCCACTCATGCAAATCTGTAATTTAAATATTATGGCAAATCTTGTTTGACATGAGGATTAAACTGTTAATAAAAACTCAGTGCATTTTTTACCTAACTATACTTTGACAGAAGTCTAATTGAATCATTTAGCCCATAAGGAAAATGCTTATCTGAGGGCGTGCATCTGCATTTTCCCCATACACCACTGTTCGACTTTTACTGTAAATTTGCTTAGAGTGCATTACTTAACATGCATGAACTGATGCAAACAAACTTTTAGTTTTAACGCATGCTCATTGAAGCAGGTGCAAAATTTAACGCCAAACGAGTTTTGGATCCATGTAGGTAATATTATTTGATGTCTCTTGCAATTGTTGCCTCTCCTCCCCAGAGGATTACATGAAGTTCCAGTCGTGTAAATTATCCGTAAATACTTAAGGTGGCTTATCGGAGTTTGATGTCGTTTTGCTGTTCTAATTTTTTTCAAGGCCAAAACGAAGCGTTAAAGATGTGTACAATCCAGGGAATTTGATTTCTTCGCACGTCTAGAACATATAATTCTATCTTCTTCAAATATTCTAAAGAGAACTTTCACATTATTGGTAATTCGAAAGAAATCTAGTTTTAGCAAAAACAATTAGTTATGCCATTCGACTATCATCAATTCCTTTCTCAAATTACAATACATTGCCATTTGAAGATAGCGTTATAATTTCGAAAGGCCTACTGTATACCCAATACCCGTTCATCGGATGTGACTTTAACACAATTGTGTTTGTGTGTGGCAGTTAGGGATGCACCGGATATCATATCAGGCCAGATTGTAAGATCAACTTATTATCCGGCCACCAGGGCACCGGAAATTGTTTATTTTAAGTGTTGTAAAGTCCGTTCTGTGCATACGTTCTGCGCATACGTTCTGCGCAGGCCTACATTCCAATGGTCAGGACCCGACCATTGGAAAGCTATTAATATTTCGCACCTTCCGAACTTTCTTGAATTGAATCTCTAGTCTGTATTCATTTACAAGCATAGCAAACCAGAAGAGTGTTAAAAATTTAGTATAATATATATTTAATCATATTTTACAACTGTAGCAGTGAGTTCAAAATGTAAACAAATCGTTTGTTCACATTACCGAATTTACAGCACCTTTAAGGTTCAAGCTTTCTTTTCAAATTAAAAATTATGCAATAAGTTTCGCAAAGAACGAATATTTATCATATATTTATCATATGTAACACCATGATATGAGGGAAATTAGTGATTAGGTGTCCCCGAAGGCCGAGGGACATTTAGTATTGTCGATGTAGGATTTAACAGATGCATTATTATTCTAATAAATTACAATATGGAAGGTTGCAAGTAGGGTGACAGTGTTGCTACTCAAGCATGTAATTCTAGTCTGAATGTATTGGCATTCGACTCTCTCTCAGCTGGAAAAGATTGGAGTAAGCTAAAAAATTTAGAATATGACAGCAAGCGAATGAAATGGACAGGAGAACTTGATTGCTTAAAGAAATTTATCGAATGTTTTGTCGTCGGTGAAGGCAATTGGCGCTCGCCTGGCGGTTCTACTAAACAATTTTTATTGATGCTTGTGATGTTACTCTGAGTGTATATCCACACTGGGCAGGCTTAACTTGAAAAATATGCCAGGCCACGGTGGGAGACGAATCTACGACCTTTCGAATACTAGCCCAAAGCTCTGCCAACTGAACTACGCGGTCAGGTCGGTTCGAGTATGTGGTATTTCGGAACCGAGTCTAGTTCCTTCAATATCAGTGTAATCTAATAATCGTGATATTTGCTGTGCTGGTGTAATGTACTCAGGTGTATAAGATGCTTGTGATATTACTCTGAGTGTATATCCACACTGGGAAGGCTTGAAAAATATGCCTGGCCACGATGGGAGTCGAACCTACGACCTTTGGAATACTAGCCCAATGCTCTGCCAACTGAACTACGCGGTCAGATTACACTGATATTGAAGGAACTAGACTCAGTTCCGAAATACCACATATTCACACCGACCTGACCGCGTAGCTCAGTTGCCAGAGCATTGGGCTAGTATTTCAAGGTCGTAGGTTGAACTCCCACCGTGGCCAGGCATATTCTTCAAGCCTGCCCAGTGTGGATATACACTCAGAGTAACATCACAAGCATCTTGTACACCTGAGTACATTACACCAACACAGCAAATATCATGATTATTAAATTACACTGATATTGAAGGAATTAGACTCGGTTCCGAAATACCACATACTCGAACCGACCTGACCGCGTACAGTAGCTCAGTTGGCAGTGCATTGGGCTAGTATTCCAAAGGTCGTAGGTTCGACTCCCACCGTGGCCAGGCATATTTTTCAAGCCTGCCCAGTGTGGATATACACTCAGAGTAACATCACAAGCATCTTATACACCTGAGTAGATTACACCAACACAGCAAATATCATGATTATTAGGTTACACTGATATTGAAGGAACTAGACTCGGTTCCGAAATACCACATACTCGAACCGACCTGGCCGCGTAGCTCAGTTGCCAGAGCATTGGGCTAGTATTCCAAAGGTCGTAGGTTCGACTCCCACCGTGGCCAGGCATATTTTTCAAGCCTGTCCAGTGTGGATATACACTCAGAGTAACATCACAAGCATCTTATACACCTGAGTACATTACACCAGCACAGCAAATTTTTATTGTTGGACACGGATCTAATATTACCTGGTATGCACATAAACAAAACTCGCTGACATTTAATGGAGAAGATGGAGATTTATTAAGAGAAAAATTAATACAACTATGTTTAGACAGCTAGGACTTATCATCCTCGAAGTCGGAGAATTGCTCTGCAGAATGTCTAATTAGCGACGGGCTGGACGAAGCTAGAACGCCCAACAATGACGACCATAATAATATCGTGGACTTATCGTCTGATATATCAACTGTCCTACAAGATCCTTTATCACTAAGCCGCTCAAGCAATGACGGATCCGGAGATCTACAGATATCGAACCTAAATCTATCTTTCAGTCCAAATTTACAAACTAACTGTGGACATAATTCCGTTCATAACAAAGACGGCAATTTGCATGTTGTAATGCAAACGGGCACTCGTGCAGAGTCGGCAATGTAAACCTGATCAGCTAAGAGTACAGCGAGTGTTAGCCAAAACTCGGGTCCTTGCGAATGTGTGAGTGTGTGTAAGAATAATAGCGAAATACTGGCTAAAATTGAGAAAATACAATCAAAACAAAAAGATTTGAAAAATATAATCCGAAGTCAGGATAAGGCAATTAAGATTCTTAAACAGGAAAATTTTATGCTTAAGTCAAAGTTTGATTCTTTGGAATTTCTTTTGTTTGCTAATCCCCCAATTACCTGGTTCGCCCGTTTCTGATAAAAACTGCTCAACCAATGCGAAATCACAAAGGAATGACAGTCCAATTAACTCTGAAAACCACACAATATTTTCAACAGCCGACATAAATAAAGGTCAGTCTGTGACTCTTTTAAACGATAATCCTATTATCTATTGTTCCGACAAAGGTAACGATTTGTATATGCCTAAAGACTCGATGGATTATACATTTTCCTATCCAAAATGCCCCGACTAAGATATCGTCAAGTGAAATCGGTAGTGTTCCAAATATGAACAACTTAGAGAAAGATCGGAGCAAAGAAAATCTATCTAAAAGCAATACACCATGCCCATTTATTCTGCGCCGTGGTTGGTGTATAAAAGGCGACCGCTGTGATTTTTCCCATCTGAACTTAATTAATGCCCCCAACCCCGTCACATGCCCGGTGTGTCAAAAAGCTCTGTTTCTGCCCTTTCTTAAGCATGAAAGGTTTCTGCCTGAAGGGACTGAGATGTGACTTCTCCACGCCGAACCCTCTCCACGTTCGTTTGTAAAGCCACCTCCATTCAATGGTTATCTACCCTATCCACCAAAAAAAAAAATTTTCACGACCCCTTACTTCGCCGTGCCCAATTTTCGGGAACCTACCACCCTTCTTTTTTTGGAGGTTTCCAGAGCGCTCTTGGCTTATTAGACACGAGACTGAGGAGAATAGATGTTACTTCTCATGTGCCACCGTTTAATCCCAACCTATTCCCATGCGCAATCCCCCTCTATCATACCCTCCACAACCATTAATGCAAATTCCAGTATACCCACCAAACCGTGTCCCACATTGGTAAACCCTGATAAGTTTGACCTTCCACGTTTGTTAGTTTCGAATGTCCGTTCGATCCTCCCCAAGGTGGATGAACTTGAAGCAGTTTCCCAAATCAATAAAGACGATTTTATCTGCATTACTGAAACATGGCTAAATAGCAGTATTCCTGATTCAGCAGTTTCCCTCGCAGATTATTTAATTTTTCGCAACAACCGTTTGTCATCCTCTGGAGGTGGCGTTTGCATTTACGTTAACAGTAAATTTTCGTGCAAAAGACTTCGTACCTATGAAGACCAGGGTATTGAATCATTGTGGATGTCTATCAGGCCACCCCGTCTGCCTCGATCTATTTCTATAATCTTATTAGCTGTCTTTTACCACTCTACATCCTGCGGCGCCACCGAAAATGTCGATTATATGATCACATCCAATCTAATGTCGATACTTTTCTTCGTAACCATCCCGACGCCTTACTTCTCATGACCGGAGATTACAACCCTTCAAGCACGGGTTTTGACGAAAGAGTGGTTAAAAGAATTGCAGGTTTGACCCAAATAATAAATGTTAAGACAAGAGGCAATGCTATATTGGTTTGGTGCCTAACTAACGCGAAGAAATCCTTCTTTCAACAGGTACAACTCCCTCAACTTGGAACTAGCGATCATAACACCATTCTTATCAAGACACGTATCCCCAGGCCTCAGAAACCAGATAATAGACCTATTTCGAAAAGAGACCTCAGATATAGTAGCTTACGAAGATTTGGCCAATGGATTTCCTCTTACGATTGGTCACCCGTTCTACACGTTCATGACTGTGATCTAAAATTCCACAAATTTCATGACATTATAGAGAACATGGTGGATAAGTTCTTGCCTATTACACGTACGAAAGTAAGACAATGTGACAAGCCATGGATGACCCCCTCACTCAAAAGCTCCATAAGTAATCGCCAAAAAGCCCTTTATAAACACGGTAAATCCTCTACAATGTTTAAGCACTGGCGCAATAAAGTTATCATGGACGTCAAGTCAGCCCGAGCCAAATACTACGCTACATCGGTCTGTAAATTAAAACAAGGCAACTCATCGAAATGGTGGAAATAAGTTAAGTCTATAGGTGGTCTATCCTCTCGGGACTCGTGGCACCACCAACTGTTGACCCCCGACAACCTTACCTGTCAACACCTTGTTGAATCCATAAACACGTTTATTACTAGTTCGACTTCCCACTTCAGCCACTTGAGCACGACAGTACAGTGACGCAATTGGACGTCCCTGCCTCCTTCTTGGTGGACGCAGGTCAGCTTTATCAAGCCTTACGTAAGATCAAAACTAACAAATCCCCTGGCCCCGACTTAATCCCTAACAAAATCCTTAAAATGTTTGCCTTTGAACTTGCTCCTGTAATTGCTGATGTTTACAACTCATCCCTTTCACAAGGCGTGGTTCCTCCCAGCTAAAGCCATCTATTGTCAGGCCCATTCCTAAAGTGCTTCCTCCCACATCTATTGAGAACGATTTGCGACCGATCTCCTTGACCTCGCAAATTTCCAAAATTATGGAAAGATTCACAATTAACTCGTTGATGCCTCAAGTAATTTACCAACTTGACCCTAAGCAATTCGCACTTCCAAACATATCAACTACCCATGCCCTGGTGTACCTTCTCCATCAAATTCTTGCTGCCTTAGACAGTGGTCATAATTCCATCAGATTGTTTTTCGCCGATTTCAGGAAGGGCTTTGATTTAGTGGACCATAGCGTTATTATAAACGAACTTGAAAATCTTAATGTCCACCCTGTCTTTACTCGCAGGATTAAAGCGTTCTTGACCAACCGTCAACAATGTGTCAAAGTGGATTGCCATGAATCCTCATGGAAAACCACCAACGGAGGTTTACCCCAGGGAACATGTCTGGCCCTCTTCTATTTGCTATCTTGGTTAATCCATTACTAGAAATACATGCATGCAATAACCTCTCGCCTGTTTTCAAAAGATGTATACTCACTGCCGTTGCGAGCACTTCGTCTCAGGGTGTGTGTGAGGTTAGACAGAAGAGGGGG